TGATTTGCCTAATTGATTTTAGTGCCGGTCGTAATTTAAGCTTTAACGAAGTCACAAATGTTGAAAAGTCAAACATAAGATTAGGGTCCATATTATTTTTATTTTTCTAATAAACTCTACAAGTTTTTCAAGTCTGGCAAATAAACTTAAAGTGGACGTCAATGACAAATCACAAAATTTAATAAAATTGTTCGACAAGGCCCCCCAAAAAAAAATCATGCAACTTCGTAATATGAAATATGGCTGGGACCTAAGAACTCTCTAATTATTTTTTTTATAATTTTTTTGAAAAGGATCTTCGAGATTATTAATATCTTAACTGTTTTTCTTAAACTTAAATCAAGTGGACCAATGTCTTCTTTTGTGGCAAAACAAAAAAAAAAAAAGTGAAACAATGTATGGCATCTTATCTTGACACGTCTTTTTAAATTTTTTTTTTTGGCCAGAATCTCTTTTAATTCGACTTAAGTAAATTCACAATTATAATGATCTATTATTATTCTCATTATTATGATGACCATCATCACAGAAATAATATCTCACAGTGAAAAACAAATGAGATATGACATAATATTTAAATCTTAAAGATTCTCTAATGGTTTAACCTCAAAAGAAAATGCCATACATTTTTAAGTTCCTATCATCTGGTCATCTTCTATTAAATATACTCGTCATAGCGATTTAATAATTTTACTGTTTCATTATGTATTGTTAATCTTTTAAACTATATATGGTTTGTTGGAAAAGCCAGTAAGAATATTTCCTCAATTAGTTAATTGTGAAAATAAGCGGTCATTGCATTGTTTGTTAATTACAAAAAATATATCATCATCTCATTTTCTGCAAATGTTATCGTTTGCAATGTACTGTTTTGCTTTTGCATTAATAATTGAGTGCCTTTCTTGTTAGTTGTTACCCTTACATTTAACAAGACACTTCTAACCAATTCACACTCTCAATAAATTGGTCAATAGTGTTTAAAATTATAATTTTTTTTTGGAAAAATGATAGATATATAAGTCCCAAGAAGATTAATTATTTAAATTAAGTTTTAAGTGTTAAACTTCAGAAATTTATAAATTTATCTCTCAATTTTGCAGTTTTCTTATAATGAATTTATAACTTATTTTTTAAATTTTAATATGATTGAACAATAAACAAATTTATTTTTCCTATTAAACTTTGAAACACAAATTGTAAATTTATTATAATAAAATTATAAAATTAAGAGTCAAACCTATAAATATTTAAAGTTTGCTTGAGAACTAGCTTGAATTAATTGGGGACATCTCTATCATTCTCGCAATTCTTTTCATATTTACCTTTATTTAATATTACATCTCAATTAAAAAATCTTATTAATTACAACTACAATTAAGAATATTTTAAGAAAAATCTTATCAATTATACATTAAAAAGACCCAAAATATCTAATATTTTTAAATTGAGAGAACACAATTATTAGTCTTTATAATTTTATCAGATTTTGCTTTTAGCTATTGTAGTTTTTTCAATATTTTCAGTTTTTATAAGAACTAAAAATACTAAAACTATGAGACTTGAGGAGCAAAAATAACTCAGTTTTGCTAAAACTATAGAGACTTAAAACATTTAAAAAAATTACACAGATTAAAAGAAAAATCCGATAAAATTATAGGGATTGATGATTATCTTTTTCATTTTAAATATGATATTTTAAAAAATGTCCTGTAATACTGAACTGTGGGAGTATTTGTTATTGACTACAAGAGTTCGTTAACTTCATAACTTTGTTTACTAATTTTTAATTTTTGGTTAGGTTATGTGATGGGGATATGAATTATTGAAATTTACATAATCAATATAAACAACTCAGTCACATGGTCTAGTTAAAATATATACAATTCGCACAAATTGTAAACAGCAACAATTTTAGGAGAGTAGAAGACAAAAGCTAGGCTCAATCATGCATCCATGTCAACATGTAACTAGTAAAATAAGTAGAAACATGGAAAATTAATTTAAAATGACGTTATCTTTTCCTTTAATTAATTAAGCTAGTATAAAATTTACCTAAATGATAATGCGCAAAACCGAAAATTTAAAAACTCTTGTCTTACGAATCATTAAGCCTGTACTCCTATATGCTAGTTTTTTTTTTTCTAATTTAATATATGGTGAAAATGGCTTTATCATTATTTATTAATCAATTATTATTAATTTTTAATATGATAACTTGAGTGTACGGTTTGACCATGCAAGTCGCGGTTACTCATAGCTTAAAGTTTTGGCTTAAATTAAATGGTGAAGCAATCTTTGAAGTCATTTCCAAGTTACGCATTTAATTAGTCATTCAAATAGATATTTTATATATAAAATATAAACAAATATTTCTTGATGACAGAAAAATATTATGTGTAATTGAGCAATAATTTGTGTAATTTATTTGTGTCAAAAGAAAGATTTAATTTCTCTTTAGGTTAGAGTTTACTTTTTGATCTTCTCATTTTATATAAAAATTCAATTTATTCTTCTAATTTTATATAAAAATTCAATTTAATCCCTTACTTTTATAATATATTTTTTCAGCTGTTTAATCCTAACATCATCAATTTTAAATAATTATTTTTTATATTAATTATTGTTCTTTTAAAAAATAAATTTAATATATCAATATTTGATAATATTTTATTAATATTTAAAAATTTTATGAAAGGTTTTTTTATGTCATGAATCTAATGGTATCAATGTTAAAGGAAAAAAAAAACTTTATAAAATTAAAAAATTAAAATAAAATTTTATATCAAATTAAAGGACTAAATATGCATTTTAGCCTTCACTTTATTTTGTGCAACATTTTTTAAATCAAATTCACTTCTCACTAAAAAAAGAAAATAATTTTTAAAATTTAAAAGTAAAATAAAAATTTATTTAGTCAATATACTTATCCAATTTTTGCAATATTCACGAATAATAAGTGATAAACAATGTAATAACTCATCTTGAACTCTATGGAAAACACTGACTTATGTCTTGCTCAAACAAATCTTTAAAAAATTTCATGTAATTTATTTTAATTTTAAGAATTTTTTTTATAAATTTTAGAATTAATAATTATTTTTATAATTATAAAAATATTTAAAATCAATAAAAAATAAATAAATTTTTCTATAAAAACAAATTAAATAAATTTATACTAAAATGTGACATTATTTTATTAGTTATACTTACTATTTTTTGAGATGATTAATTTTTTTTGAACTATATATATTTAAAAACATATAAAATTTATGTTTAAATTAAAAATCAAGATAGGGAACAATTTTTTTTTTGTTTACAGGAATTAACGGGCCAAAATTAATCATATTTTTAGGCCAATCAAGTGCGAATAATTTAATTATATGGAAAATGAAATGGGAATAATAAAAAAGAAAAAAGCAGTACTATGTTTTTAATTCCTTCCAAGAAGATTGAATCTATAAATAATTTTTTAGGTCATGGCTGATATTTAAATTAGTCAAACAATTTAATCCATGGAATCTTATGTGTGCATAATTTTCATATGCTTGCTTCACAAACTAATAAATAGCCAATAACATGTGTTTGGATCACTATCGTAATAAAAAATTAGCTTTTGGCACTTAAATTATATTTCTCTTTCAAATTTGTTAAGACATCTCTATCTATTCTAATTATTTAACATGATTGTTTTTAGTCAAATATGTCGTGGCTTTATATGGGAGAGAAGCTTAAAATTTCTTAAGAAGAAACCTATTTGTATTTGTTTTGGTTTCAAAAAATAATTACAAGTTACAGGGCTCAACTTCTTAAAGAAATCGGAAGATAAATTTCGAGTAAGATAATGAGAATTTGTACTTTTAGTGCTTTATATGTTCATGCTGAAGTATTAAAAATACTTTTTATAAATGAAACATCAAAATCTAAAATAAAGATATTGATGTCTTAAACATTAAAAACTAATAAATTTCAACTCTTTAAAAAAAATTTACAACAGGCAAGTTATACATGAACAGTTTAGAAAGTTAATTTAATTGAAAAATATGATTATTTGAACCAAGAAATGCATGTATTTTTGTTTCCTTTACTAAAATTAAAAATTGGATTTATATTTCCATTTAAAATCTCTAATAAGTTGTACAATAATTTGTATTAATTAGATTAACACTAATTTGCATTAATAAATTTTATTTATTTATTTTTATTCCATCATCTTATTCTCCAGAAGTATTACCACATGTTCCAGACTAATCTGGATTTATGCTGTGTGGGACCGTATGTTTTAGGACTCAAGTTAATTTTCTTGACTAGTTGAAGTTGAACCAAGCTCTCTTCAGTAAATTTCATTTATTGTTCCAAACAAAACAATAATAACAGATCAAGTAGTTGATGACAAATATGTATGACGAACATATCTGTCGGACAAAAATCAATGAATACATTAGCATTTATATCTTCCTAATTCATCTGTATTCGAATAAAGTCATAAAAAATCTGCCATAGTTGTTTAAAGTCATATAAGCAAATTAAATAAATAAATAAAATTATATTGCATAAATCAACTTTAATCATTTTAACAAATTAAATCCTGTGAGTTATTTGGATTAGCGTTGTTCCAAACAGCTAGACACAGCTAGTTATTTTAAGCAAATGACGTTTACAACTTCATAAGGTCATGTTATCCAATAATCATATATCCAGGCGGCTCTTGCGGGCACATAAAATTTGAACAAAAAATCGTGCTACGTAGAATTTTTTTAAAAATATATAGATATCTATTATTTCATAAATTGTATTACTAATGTTAAACCATGGTATTTCTACACATTACAAGGATATGCAAATGCAATATTATCAATTGATTCCAAACTTTTTCTTAAAAGAAGTTTATAAACTTGTACTTTTACTCATATAAATAAACTTTAGAAAAATAAATATTTTGATGACAATTTCTGTGAAGGGAATATATACTTTTACTATAAGAATGCATGTACACACATGATAAAAAAAAAACCACTACATAGTAGTTTAAATTCTCTTTTCATAATCATTTACAAATATGATTTTTCTGCCATAAAATGGATAATCTCAAGCCAGAGTTCTCCTCACTGACTGATAACTTATTTATTTTTTTAATTTTTTGTTGATTTATGGTAACGACGTTTTATTCTTCATAACAACTTGCAAACAAAACAATACAAGTAAGCCTATATTATGAGTAAAAGGAAGAGTCCAATCAAAACAACCCATATGCCCAAGATTCTTGATCCGTGGCCCTGCTCGGACATTGTTTGAGAGCAGAATCAAAATCTGTGATCTTTCTGTCAACATCCTCGTTATCGTTCAGAAGAAAATCCAAACTGCTCATAAAATCATCATCCCACAATTCCATACTGTTGCTACTATCGTTGCTTTTCATGTCAATGTTGTTGTTGTAGTCAATGTAATTACAAGCCCACTCGAATTCTGAGAGGTCCAGGTTTCCGAGGAAGTTAGAAGAATTGGAAGAAGAAGAAGAAGATGAAGATGAAGGGGTGGGATCAGAGAGCATGAGAATCTCATCAGGTTCGATTAATGGAACCTCATCAGTACAGAAACTGTTCATCATGATGTCGTCACATGGTGGAGTTTCAATCTTGTCCTCCTCTTTCGATTCAGTCAAGGTCGACGATGACTCATACGATGTGTCTGCCTTCTTTAGCTCTCGATTCCGATCAATCTTGAGGCTAGCTGCCAGAGGCCGTTGCTGCTGTATCTGTATTTGATTAATCTGCGATGGCGGATTCTGGACTTGGTCAGAGACGAGAGGCTTGTGAGTGACAGGATCAATCCCCATTTTCTTGAGCTTCTTCTTGATGTGCGTGTTCCAATGGTTCTTGATCTCATTATCAGTTCTTCCAGGAAGATGAGACGCAATCTTAGACCATCTGAAACATCAACAAAAAATTCCAAAACTTGAGCCAATAATGCAGAACAAAACAGAACAGAAACAGAGAAGCAGAGAAGAATAAGGAACCTGTTGCCAAGTTGGGCGTGGAGATCAATCACCATTTTTTCTTCATAATCAGAAAGAAGACCTCTCTTCAGGTCTGGTCTGAGATAGTTAGTCCATCTCAGCCTGCAACTTTTGCCACACCTCAAAAGCCCTGAAATAGAAACCAGAGGAATCCACCAAACATGTTGGTGAGTGATGAAGAAGGAACAAAAACCATCGACCCAGAAACGAAGATGTTTCACACAGAGAGAGAGAGAGAGAGAGAGAGAGAGACCTGCGAGCTTAGGGACAGTCCTCCAGCAACATTGGCCATTGTTGAGGAGGAAATTGATCAGCTTCTTGTCTTCATCAGCAGTCCAAGGGCCTTTCTTCAGTCCAACCTTGTCACAGCAGGGCTGCCTTCCCATTTTCAGATCAAATATTGGAGCTCAGTTTCTCGGATTGAAGGAAGAAAATGGTAGAGAGAGAGAGAGAGAGAGAGAGAGAGAGTCTGTGAAAAGTCTCGGCGAAGTGGAAATGGGAGACACAAGAGGGGTGAGTAAAGAATGGGATTACCTACGTATATATACAAATCAAAGCCAGCACCAACCCTTCAGTGAGTCCATCCCCTCCATACCCCACTTTCCCCACTCCATTTTGTCTATTTCTTATTATGCCTTTTCTTGTCAATTTTTTTTTTTTTTAGTATAAGCAGCCAACCTGGTCGAAAATATATCTCATGACAATAAATATTATCTCTCCTAGCTAGTGAAAACAAATTATAGATCCCTTTCAAACTAAGTTACTACATACAAAGAGTTTGAGATTCAAATTCCTAAAAAGTTAAAAATTCTTATCATTTACGTCAACTTGAATTCATTTTTAGTTTATTTATTTATTTAGTAAGCTTAGCCGACCTTTATTTTCTTTCATTTTGATTTCTTTTCTTTCATTTTGATTTCTCTTCTTCCTTTGTTTTTTTCCCTCTTTTGTTATTGTTGTTATTTTATCACACGCCCCTCAAAAGACTTATTTAAAAATATGTTATTTATCACATTTAAATATAAAAATATAAAACATATTAGCTCGAGAGACTTTTCCTTGGTATGCATATAATGTAGTAAAAAAATGTCCCTTTTAATTATGAATGAAAATAAATAGAAAGCAAAAATACATAATAGTATAGATATCATATATCTTAATTATTTTGGCAAACATGGACTTTAACTTTTGTGTGACAAAAAGAGATCCCTTTCCATAGCCCGAATCGAATTACAATTTTCTAGGCATATAACATGGTTATTTTTAATAAGAATTTATTGAAGATGATTTATTTTTGTGTGAAGAGAAGAGAATCAACTAATCATCAAGAGCGATTGGTTAAATGAAGAGAAGTGTCACATGACGCACGTGACACGTCATGGTCGGAAAGCTCCACTTCGTCGACCATCATTTGCTTGAGTTTGAAGCGTGAGATCCTCCGCCACTTGATATTCTTCGTGTCAGCAATAAAAAGCGTACCATCTCATTTCACCTTCTCAAAATTCTCATGAGTAGGGAAACAGGTAATTGCATTTTCTATTATTTCTTCGTAAAATTATACTTCCTCCAACTCAAATTATAAAATATTTTTTTTAAAAAAATTCATTTTAAAATATAAGATACTTTTAATAAATTAAAATTTTATTAAATGCATCAATTTCAATATTTTTATTTCTCTCTCTATAATTAATTTTTATCCTTTTTTTAATATATTAAATGATAGATAATTTTAGAAGTTTATATTTTTATTTTAAAAAGATAATGTTATTAAGTGTATTTAATGAGATTTATTGGTATGTGAAATTTTATCTAAAAATATCTTATAATTTAGAACGGAGGTAGTATAAAATAATATAGTGAAAGGATTGTGCAGAATTTTAACCAAATTTAAGAGAAGTATATTTATTTATTTATTTATTTTTATGAGATATTTTCTAAATTTTGAAAACAAAATATACGTAATATAAAAAATATAAAAAATACATTTTACGTTATCTTTATTTTTAACATGATTTGTGTATATAAATTTTTTGAAAATATAAAATTATGGGATCTGCATTGTTTTTAGAAAAATCATTTAATGCATTCAATAATTATTAAATACACCAATGGTAATCGGGTTGAGAAAAAGGACCAGGTGATTAAGATCAAGGATTCAAACTTCATAAATGAAATATATATATATATATATATATATTATGAGATTATTACTCCTAATCGATCATGCTTGAATATGATTTAATAGTAATTAAATATTATATAATTCTGTAAAAAGAATGGTGAAATTGAATTAAATATAGAAATGAAAAGATGGTATAATTTGTAGCCCAAACGGTTAGAAGAAAAAGAGGAATGAATGAAAAGAGAAGACAAGTAGTGTAAGCCATCTTTGCATGCGGCATGAATTCTTTATGTGCTCTGGCCACCAAAGAAGTATTATATGTGTGTGTGTGTATATTATATATATATATATATATAGATAATTCTCCTCATGCTTTAGCAACTTCGCAGCCACAAATACATATATACATATACATATATATCATTTGAACAGACATATATATTTTAGAGCCGTAACTAAATTGAAAATGTTATGCGAACATTCAATTATACAGGACTGCCATTCACTAGCGGCCTCTGTGTCTTCTAGCTCTTAATTTACATGCCCCATAATGGACAAAATTATAAGAAAATTTCCCAAATATTAATTAACTAATTGATTAATTGGCTTCATGAATTCTGCTGCTAACAATTATATATTATTAGTAATCGTGGTAGTCAAAATTAAAAAGTCTTCTTCCAAATGAACGCAAAATCGATTGCCTTTCATATTTATCGTGTTTATTTTGTATATAGTATCAGTAATAATTGATTGAGGCTATAATTTTCTATTAACAAGGTTGAGTCTAATAAAAAGAATTAGTCATTTACAGTATAGCAAATCAATATTTGAATCCCTACTTAAAGAAGTGTTTATATTTAGTACTCAATTGTATTTTAAATATGATTGCTTTTTTGATAAGAGAATACCTATAAGCAATAAAAAAATTATTATTTTATCACGTTTTCTTCTTAGAAAAATATTCCAAGACTGGAAAAGGAGAAAAATTACATTTTATTGCGATCATGGATTTTTTTTTGAAAAGCCAAATAATAAAATGTTTGTATCGAAATGTAAATTGAAAATCTTAAAAATTTTATTGAAAACTTTTTTCATTAAAAATTTTATTTTTAATTTATATATTTTATATTTTCAATTTGTATATATTATTTTTTAAAATTTGAGAGTACGTGCTGTAGCTAGTTAGCAGCCTGCATATATGCGCGCCCAAAAAATTAAAGGAAATAAAGTTAGAAAATACATATGTATCACAGAATGGTCCCACTGCCCAAACTAATCCCTTGTTTTACCTTTCAAGCAAAAATATGACAACATTAACTCCTACGAAAGAAAACTTATATATTGACTTCTTATCAAAAAAACAAAAACAAAAAAGAAAGAAGGAAGGAAGAAAACTTTCATGTATAATATACATATCCATGTACATATATAGAAACACACTGACACACTTATACATATATACTTTCATTTATTTATTTTACCGTGATATACATATATACTTTCACTTACTTATTTTACGGTGACTTAGTGTAAAGACAAAGCATTTTCTACAAATTTACCAAGAACGATAGACAAATGTATCCTTGTATGTGTTCCACTACTCTTTACTCTTCTTTTCATTATTACTATTAATTTTTTTATGAGTTTTCTTTCAGATTAAATGGATGATATTTTTCTTGATATTTTTCTTTTATATAGCTATACGATTAGGACAGATTTAAGTATTATTATGCCTAATTAGAAGTAGCGCTCCCAAATCAATGCTAATAAATACTCTCTTTGTTCCTAAATATAAGATGTTCTTAACCAAATTTTACATGCTAATAAAAATTTATTATTTAGTTGAAATCACAATAAATTACAATAATTTTATAATTTTGCCCCTAATAATGTCAATTAATATTATATTGATAGATAAAGCACACAATTAATATCTCTTCTTCTTCTTTTAAATAAGGACAAAATTATCTAATTACTTAAAAATATCATGACACTCTTTATATTTAAAAATAAAATAATTTTTTTAAAAAAATACCTTATGGGTTTGCCCCTAATTCAACGAAAGGAGTACTATAATATATATATATATATATATATAAAATTATTGCAGCGTTAGATATTTTATTATATATTATATTATATTTATAGAAATTGTTTTAAATCTACTTTACTAAGATACCATTGAGTTATAGGATATCATTGAGGATAATAAAATACTGTGAGTATGATCCTAATCAGCTTATGATATCTAGGTTTAGGGATTTGTTTAGTCTAAATGAAATAATAAAATAGCTCTGATTGTAGGTTATAAAGAAATTAGCATACAATAAATTGATATGCTCTAAGAGGGTTTCTAACTAATGACGACTCTTTTCCAATCACCATTACTTTGCCCCCTTAATACAATCTATACATGTAGTACTATATAAATATATATTTAATGATGATTACAAAATTGGATTGAACCAAATGGTTGAACAGTCGATCAGTTAGGCAAATGACTTGATCAAGCTGAAAAATTATTTTGAAAATTGGGCTGGATTAAGCCTTTTTGAATCGATAGTCAGACTAGGACTGGAACAAGTTTTAAAAATAGGACTGTTAAATGTTAGACTAATTTTTCTTTCAATGACAAGATCTATTTTGAAGAGTTTGTCATCAGCTGTTACAAACTACTCACTATAAAGGAACCATTTTTCTTGAGGTAGAATATGATATTTCATGACAGTTTTGTAGGAACCAATTTTTTTAATCATTTGATATTATGTTGTATCATGTGACTTGTTAGGTCATGAAAAATTTAAAATATTTAGTTTTATTCGTAAGTTAAGTAACAATTTCATATTTATTTCTTATATTTAGATTATTATATATAAATAATTTTTTAATTTAATTATTATGTCAACCATAAACTGTTGGCCTTTCTAGTTCAATATCTGGTCCGGTTTTAAAAATATTAATATTTAAGTATTTGTATCATCTCACACTAAGGGTGATTCATGACTTGATTAAACAATAGAAAAATGACATATAGGTCTGAAAGGAACCTATTAATTCAAAGTAAGTCTCAAAGTGTCAAATTGTAGAAATTTACAAATTCAGCTCTCAATTTTATAACTTTATTATGATGAATTTATAATATTTTAAATTTTAACAAAGAAAATAAATTACAAATTCATCATAATAAAATTATAAAATTAATAGCCAAACTTATAAATTTCTAAAGTTTGATATTTTGATATTTAATTTGAATTGATCGATGTCCTTGAAACCTATCCATCGTTCTCCCTTAAATAATTATTTATACACTAGTACTCTTTTGCTTGAGTGAGCAGCATTAATTAATTGCCACAATAATAATGTATGCACAGTTG